TAATAATTGTAAAATAAAGAATTGAATGTCATTGGTAAAGATTTAAAATTTCTTAGTGTAATGATGTTGACCACTATTTTCGACTAAGAAATTTGGATCCACATCATCATGTTGGAGTGAATAAACTTCAACCTTTTCAACACCAGCTTCTTTCGGACTAATTCCTGTTCCGTTCAAATAACAAGCAACTATGTTGATATCATTTTTAACATCAAAAATTGCCTTCGGATTTAACAAGCCTGTCTTGGGATCAACATCGTAAAAATAATCGTGTGATTGTGTTCGTATTCCCAATCGATCCATAGCTGCTGTAATATCGACACTTCCTACGAAATAAGTAGCACCTCCACGAGGTTTACGCCGAACGGCAACTAAGCCAGCAAAATGAGGTGAAGTTATTGGTGTCTCTGCAGTTGCATTTTTCAAATCAACGAAAACTTTAATAACGTATGATCCAACTAATTTACACTCTTCTATAGTTAATTTTGCGAAAAATCTACGTCCATAAAGCCGATCAGGTTTATAGTATGCAAGAACATATGCTTGCAATTTTTTTCGATCTTGACCTTTAAATTTCATCAATTCGGGATAAGTATATCCAAGCTTTTCTATATATCTAATGTCTGAAGCTGTCCAAAATTTTGTTTTTGATTTTCGGAATGGTGTTAGGTCTGTATGTTCATTTATTACTGAATATTTTTCTAGTGTATGAGTTCCATTAACACTAATATTTTCCGGAACCCAGCTATCAGGAAATCTATAAATATATATGTAATTTGGTTTTAATCTTTGTTATTTACAATTACAATATAAATAAAAATTATTTAAAATACTAACATTGCCTGCCAAAGAGCAAATATACGATCAACAAAGACATGATGAAAAAAGAATAATGGGTCGTATGCAGTTATATCCGCATAAGACATATGACCACCAGGACCACCAGCTACGAAATGAAAAGCATCATGAGTTGTTTCGATAGATGCAAAATGTGAATATCCAATCAATTTTGGTATCGGATGAGCTGTGAGCAACTCTCCCAATTCTTTACCATTTGATCTTAAAGCATTATTGCTAAAGTGTAGGTAATTATCAATATGAAATGTTTGATAATATCCTGGTCTAAAGACTGTAGGATTATATATGGTCATATTTAGGTTTAATAAATGATATTGATCTTCATAGTTAGGGCTAGGGTATCTGATAGTAGGATAACCAGCAGGTGTAAATGGATTACGATCCAGGCCTGGTATTTTATAATGGGGTTTATCAGTTGGGTTTCGACCTTTTTCAAGGGGGTATGAAAGATCTACAGGTAATATATAACTTTTTAATGGATTTCTGACTTTTTCAATGCCTTTTGGCGTATTTATTTCGAATTCAACTTCTGTAAATGCATCCGGAATGCCCTTTATTGCCTCTTCAGCAGCCCAATCCCAATAGGGATGGCGAAGTTTATTTGCTGCTTCGACGTACTTTTCTCTTTCATTATCTGGGTATTGTAAAGCAATTCTCTTTGCCTCATTAATTAATAGCGATTCTATTAATAGTAAATAGGGTCGGTGCCATGGTTGAAACAAAACATCTCCATGATGACAATATCCACCATAACGACCTTTTATCCAGTCCGTTTCATTTCTGTATTCATGAACGCCACCAGTAACTCCATCATAGGCTTTAAAAGGCAGTGCATGGAGTGCAACGACCTGGTAATATGATCGTGTGTCATCGCAGGGACGATCATATAGCGCTTGATAACTTTGAACAAACAATTCGAATTGTGGGCTGTATGATTTATTGTCATAGCCCATGAATTCACAAATTGGCAAACGCGGGTATATTTCTGAATGTGGTTCGAGAATAACTGGACCATATTCTGTCACGCTCCTCACATGAGAAGAATGATAAGAAGAAGAGTGACTTAATCCCATCTTTTTTTTTAATGTGATAATGCTTTTTCCTTACTATTGGAATGAAGCTTGAAATCGAGAGAAATCAGTTACTTTTATAGCAAAGGTCTTTTTAGATTTTTAACAGCTGCCTTACTTTGTTTAGTGTGTCGAAAGTGCGTCGAGTGTAATCTGGGTTTGTATAAGGAGAGCTTCCTGCGTTACGAATAAAAGTAAAATTTCCCATTATACTGTATAAAATTACTGGAATTGCTCTTTGTATTTGCAACGCAGGAAGAAGTTCTCCTTATACCAATTCGTTAAAAAATTTGCTTAATCGACTTGAAAGTCACTTACGTGTATAAATTTGATCTAGTATATCGACAAATAACGTAATTTATAAGCTTGAATATGAGACTTCCGAGTTAATAATTGATGATTGTCGAGGACCATAATGAAAATTTGATTAAAATGAAATTTGGGGGGTTTTTATTTATTCGAGTTGACAAAAATTCAACGGATCGAAAAGATGCTAAGCAGGGGTAACATGCCCATGAAAATTGCAAGGGGCAGAACCAGCCCGGTATACAAGAAGTAAATGTGATTCCAAATGAGCTTCCGCATACAGTAATTCTAACACAATCACATTCCCACACCAACAATCGCTCTAACCACCCTCAATTCGCGATCCAACTCATTTTCATCACAATTAATGTAGACTGCAAACTCAACTCCTATTACTATATCAGACCGATATGAAACCTCCTAAAACATATTTATACTTGTTATTATAAATTCTACCCATGAAGCTGACCCCTACCCTAAAAAAAAGCTAAAAAATGCACCCCAAATTTTTTATTTATTATTGTTCTTCATGAAACCTATTCTTCTGGGCGAACACCAGCTTTCGTGAAAGCAATATATCCGCTGAGCAAGTCATATGCACAGTTCTCGCTGATCATTCGTTGAGTAATGGGGTTATTCCATTTACTTTATTTTTTCATTACCTTCTTTACCCGTACCTCACTACCACCCTTCCTAAAAACTCAATTTTTAAAACTTCATTCATTTCATCATTATGCATACCCAAAGTAAAATTGGCATATGAATGCAGCATGTTAAATCAAGATTTGCATGAGATCCCAAAATTCTCAAATTCTCATGGCCCCTGCATGGTCCAGTGCTCACAATAATGTATCGCTTTGTGACTTCGTTCACAAGTGAGGCATTTTGGCGCTTGTTTATTTTAATCTGCACAATAATGAGTTATTATATATTTTTTTTAATCGTTAAAAATTAACGCGTTATGCATTAATAACTGCATATTCATAATTGTTAATAATAATTAAAAAGTTAATACGTACCTAATAATTAATAATTGTCGCGGCTGATTATGAAATCGGATTATTGTGAAATTTTGGGTCTCAATTTGAAAATATAGGCCCTACCAAAATCCACCAATACTCTTTTATTAAAAACTCTAACCCTAAATC